ATATATATATATATATATATGTATATGTTAATTGTAAGTAGAGCTTTGAATTATACTCTCGGCTACGGGACAATATATAAAGTCGACACGATAAAATAAACTCGTCATTCTTATCTATCGTATATAATAAGAATGAAAAATATTCTTGCAATATTATTCAATGAACGACAAGCTGGTATTATTTTATCGCGCCGAGCGAGCGTCGGAACATTTATTGCTAACATACAATTTTGTTTCTTCTTTTCTTTTTCTTTCTCTCTCTCTCTCTTCTTTTTTTTCTTCGTTGAACAATCGTGTCAAAGGCATTTGACATAGTATAGTTGAAATACGATTCACGAATCTAAGTTTACATTCGATCGGCTTATTTATAATCAATAAATACATTTCTCCGTACACGTTTTCGAACTTGGTGCAATCTTCGATATGCACAATAAAAGAAGAACGACGAAGAATGGCTATGCGTGAATTGTCATAAAGTTCACAAACGATAAAGGCGTTTATCGTTTTGCCCTTTTATTTTGTTACAATGTGTTGTGTGTTTATTATTATAATTACCGTTATTTAATGTTAATTGATATTAATATTAATATTATTATTCTAACTGCTCGTTTTTAAGATAACGCAACAAATGCTCTCGGGTACGAAATACGCGTGAAAACCAGTGATAACACATCTCTATTTCTTTTCGATACAGTACGCACGGCCGTTCGCAATATATTGATACTATAATTCTATTATCAGTTTCTCTTAAAAAATAATACCTACAGAGAATAGAATCGAGTATTAACTGTGTGTTTGCTAAATATACGCGTGGTTTCTTTATTCTTTGAACGAAGTGAGGATAATCAATGGAATCTGTTTCATTATATCATTGCGCGTACTGTAACTTGTACCATTACTCTGTTTTTTCTTTCTTTTTCTTTTTTTTTTTAATATTCTTACGTTTGTGTGGTGTAACGCGATTGTATAATCTTAGTGTGTCGAGTCATTCATTTGGTTTATTTTGGCATACAAAATAATTTTATTTACAGTCTGACAATAATATTAATTGTTTATCTATAGTCCTTTATACTAAGTGGCGATAGAATAATTCGAATTACTTACTATATTATGCGGTCTTTTCGGCTATGTACATAACAAAACGGCACGAATAAATATTATTTGACATGGACCAAGTTTTTCTTTCAATGTGCATGCTCATTGCTTCGCACAAACGATTCGTTTCTTAGGGACATTCGAATCTGTAGAAAAAGTATTCTTTAAGAAATTATATTCTCAAAGAATCAATAAGGTGGGCCACTAAAATACTAATTGTATTATCATTAACAACTATGGAACTACATGTACTACATTTTCATAGAAACGAATCAATTTTTATGATTTTAATTCATTCAAAAAATATAATATGAAGATATGGATAATAAAACGAAACTTTATTAAATGCATTATGAACGTAACAAGAATGAAATGATCTGTTGTTAAAACGATAATGATAATGAGAAAATGTGTAATTAAACAATAAAAATTATTGGATTCCTTAGCTTCGTCGAATAAAAACATCGCACGAAGCATTGTTCTATTGAATAACAAAGAAAAACTTGTCACTTAAAACGTACAAATATTCTATATTCAGTTCATCATCAATCTTTCAAATCTGTGTTTAATCACGTCCCTGTCTAACGAATCGATCGACGATCAATTTTAATACTTGTGAATTTGATAATGCATTGTGTTCTTTGATACGTAGGAAAAAATGGCAGTTGAACGGAAAGGAACAAGTGGAAAGACAAAAAAAAAATTAGCCCTCGAAACGAAATCAAAAGTTCGATACATATTTCATTATAAAGAAAACAAATATCAAAAATTCGAAAATCGTATTTTTTTACCATGCATATAACATAGTAAATTTATAAAATAAATATTTATACAATAATCGTTTAAAAACGAAGATAATTATAGCAAATAATATTTAAACATTGCAAATAATATATCACGAAAGTTTTCAAATTCGAATATTATTTTACAGAGAAATTTATCTAACTCAAAAATCCTAATTATAATGAAAGTTTGTTTGTAGATTTTAAATTTGCTTATACATGGAGTAAATTTTTTGTCGATGGAAAATTTTTTTTGAAGAGATAATATCAATTTCTAAAATTTTAATTTGTCGTGTTTAGAATGCAATTGTCTTAAAAATTTTTTCCTTTTTAATTAAAATTGTCACTCAAAACATGAAAAAATTTTAAACTGAAAATTGATTTCATCTCAAAGAAATTTTCTATCGACAAAAAAAATTGTTTCATGTATAATCCATTATGTTCCACATACATATAAATTTTTATTAAAATTAAGATTTTTGGATTTGTTCCCTGTAAAATACTTTCATGATATGCAAAAATATCATTTACGATCATCACAACTTTGAAATTGATCCTGAGGGCTATATCGATACGAGACGCATTCTTACGAGTATTTTCACATAATGAAGAAGAAAAGAATCCATCTCGTATCTTACAATATACGTACTTATAATAAAAAAAAAAAAAAAAAAA